AATGTTTCATAGACATAATACCTTAAATATATGATGTAAAACTGCAAACTTTCTGAGAGGAGCTGCTGGTGGACAAAGGGGACCCACATCCAGTTTTTAAGGAAACAAGGTTGAAAATCTCACCAGAAAATTGGTAGTCTATTAACATGGCACCACTCATATATTTTTTCAAACATTTCTTTCAACCTCTACAACAAAATGATCCTTTACAGGTCCCAAGAATGCTTGTAATCATACCTATGCTTCTATATTCAATTTTCAGCCAAAAAAGGTCTCCCTCATTCCTCGGGAAAGAAGGGTCATCTTACTTGTGAGTCATAAGAACAGCCATATTGGGTCAGATCAATGGTCCATCCAAGCCAGTATCCTGCCTGCCGACAGTGACCAATGTCAGATGCCCCAGAAGGGGTAAACACAACAGGTAATCATCATGTGATCATTCTCCCATTATCCATTTCCAGACAAACAGAGGTTAGGGACACCATTTCTACCCATTCTGGCTAATAGTCATCGATGGACCTAACCTCCGTGAATTTATCTAGCTCTTTTTTGAACCTTGTAAAGTCCTAGTCTTCACAATATCCTCTGGCAAGCAGTTCCACAGGTTGACTGTGCACCGTGTGAAGAAAAACTCTTTTGTTTGTTTTAAACCTGCTACCTATTAATTTCATTCGGTGACCCCTACTTCTTATACTATGGGAACACGTAAATAACTTTTAATGACACCAGTCATGATTTTATAGACCACTATCACATCCCCCCCTTAGTCTCCTCTTTTCTAAGCTGAAACAGCCAAGTTTTTTTAAACTCTCTTCATATGGTATCCAATCCAAACCCCTAAGGATTTTTGTTGCCCTTTTCTGAACCTTTTCCAATGTCAATATATCTTTTCTGAGATGAGGCGACCACATCTGTATGCAGTATTCAAGATGTGGGCATACCATGGTTTTATATAGAGTAAACGAGATATTCTCTGTCTTATTTTCTATCCTTTTTTAATGATTGTTTGCTTTTTTGATTGCCTCTGCTCACTGAGTGGATGCTTTCAGAGAACTATCCACAATTATTCCAAGATCTCTCTCTTGAGTAGCTGTAGCTAAATTAGTCCCCATCATATTGTATTTATAGTTGCAATTATTTTTTCCAATGTGCATTACTTCACATTTATTAACATTATATTTCATTTGCCATTTTGTTGACCAATCACTTAGGGCACGTCTAGACTACATGGCTCCATCGACGGAGCCGTGTAGATTGTTTACTCAGCAAAGGGAAATGAAGCGGAGATTTAAATAATCACCCGGTAAACCTCATCCCACGAGGCATAACGGGGAGGTCGACAAATGCCTTTGATGTCGACCACGGACCGTCCATACTACAGCGCTGTGCCACCAAACAGCTGATTGGCACAGTGCGGCAGCCATTTTAATTTAAATGAAGCAGCGATTATTTAAATCGCCGCTTCATTTCCGTCGATGGAGCCATGTAGTCTAGATGTGCCCTTAGTTTGGTGAGATCTTTTTGAAGCTCTTCACAGTCTGCTTTGGTCTTAACTATCTTGAGCAGTTTAGTATCATCTGCAAAATTTTCCACCTCACTGTTTACTCTTTCTCCAGATCATTTATAAATAAGTTGAATAGGACTGGTCCCAGGACAGACCCTTGGGGGACCTGCTACTTACCTCTTTACATTCTGAAAACTTACAATTTATTCCTACCCTTTGTTTCCTATCTTTTAACCAGTTATCAATCTATGAAAGGACCTTTCCTCTTATCCCATAACAACTTATTTTACTTAAGAGTCTTTGGTGAGGAACCTTGTCAAAGGCTTTCTGGAAATTTAACTACACTATATCCACTGGATTCCCCTTGTCCACATGTTTGTTGACCTCCTCAAAGAACTCTACTAGATTAGTAACGCATGGTTTCCCTTTACAGAAACCATGTTGACTTTTCCCCAACAGATTATATTCTTCTATGTGTCTGACACTTTTAGTTTTTTCTATCATTTCAACTAATTTGCCCAATACTGACATTGGACTTACTGGTCTGTAATGGCTAGGATCACCTCTAGAGCCCTTTTTACATATTGGCATCACATTAGCTATCTTCCAGTTAGTAGGTACAGAAGCTGATTTAAAGGATAGCTTACAAACCACAGTAAATAGTTCTGCAATTTCGCATTTGAGTTATTTTGAGTTAGAATGCCATCTAGTCCCATTGACTTATTACTTTGAAGTTTATCAGTTTGTTCCAAAACCTCTTTTAATGACACCTCAGTCTGGGACAATTCCTCAGATTTGTCAACTAAAAAGAATGGATCAGATTTTGGAATCTCCCTAACATCCTCAGGCGCATAAGAACAACCATGGATGAGACCAAACGTCCATCTAGTCTAGTATCCTGTCATCCTGACAATGGCCAATGCCAGATGCCTCAGAGAGAGAAAACAGAACAGGTAATCATCAAATGATCCCTCTCCTGTCATCCGTTTCTAGGCTCTGACAAACAGAGGCTAGGGACACTATTCCTGCCAGTTCTGGCTAACAGCCATTGATGGACCTAACATCCATGAATTTATCTAGTTCTTTTTTGAACCCTGTGAAAGTCAGCCTACCTACTTTAACCCTGTCCTAACTAGAATTCACAAACCATGGGCAGGAAAATATCTTTCTTCGCTTAGTTCCAGAATTTTTACTTCTGATGTGGGCTGAGATCCAGAAACAGCAGATGACTGGGAAACCTAAATTAATCAAACTTTGGAGTAGGATATGGGTCCATTCTTATTAGAGGGTATGTACCCTTTGACTCGGGGTGTGATACCCAACTTGATGAGACATATAGTATGCTCCTCTCATTGAGCTAGTGTGCTAATAATAGAGTGTAGCTGTGGCAGTGTGACCAGTGGGCTGGGATATCCAACCTTTGTGCCTGGGTTCTCCCATGGGTAACTAATGAGACTGGCTAGACCCTCCTGTCACTTTTGCTATGGTAACTACATTCTATGTATGTATGTCTCCTTGAGTAGGAATCAGACTCCAAGGTTAAAGCATACACTTAGATTAACTGGCTCACCTTTCACTAATAATAGCATCTTATTCTTTCAGCATAAGTGTTTGGCTATAGAAGTTTACTCTCTGTTTAACATAGGAATGAATACGTAATTGACTAGCTGAGCTTCTTCCTTAGCTTTTTCTCCAGGCATGAGTATGCAAAACAGAAACAGAAACAGAGTATGCAAAACAGAAAAAAATTGGGCACTGAAATACATAAGTAGCTGAGTTACCTTCAGACTGTCCAACCTACTGCTTAACTCCCATAAAGTGACAAAATATACCATGTTTTAATATCATCCTCATAAATACTAGAAAATAGTTTATGATGCCACTGCTTCAGTCAAGCTTCTGATTCTCTTATATAACAGTGATGGGGAAAAAAAGAATAAGGTGTCAGAACTGATGCAACTGAGAACTGGGAGGAATATGGGTGGCAAATTCTATAGACTCATAGAACACTAGAATTGGAAAGAACCTCGAGAGGTCATCGAGTTCAGTCCCCTGCCCTCACAGCAGGACCCAGTACCGTCTAGACCATCCCTGATAGATGTTTATCTAACCTGCTCTTAAATATCTCCAGAGATGGAGATTCCACAACCTCCTAGGCAACTTATTCCAGTGTTTAACCACCCTGAGAGTTAGGAAGTTTTCCCATGTATTCCTATTAATATTAATCGAATTAATAGATACCAGTCTGAAATATGTCCTGGGAAAAGAAATTAAAATGCAGGATGTAGAGCTGGGTAAAAAAGTTATTTTTCAGTTTGGTGCCTGAACCAAGAGTATTTTAAAGAGATTTTGTTTTATATCTGATCTTTTTTTAAAAAAAATCCCACTGAAACAAAATATTCTATTTCCATTTAGAATGTGGTGTTTAAAACATTTTAAATAGTTTGTTTTGGAAATGCTGAAATGGTTCATTTCAGTATTTCCATTTTTTTCACCAAAATCAACCCAAATACACATTTTTAACCAAAAATCTATGCATATGGAAAGTTTGCCCTCCTCTAGTATGGTTTTCATTCATTTGGGATTTTAATATGGACTGTAATTAACACCCTCCTCAAAATATTTCCATTTCATTTCCAGTGATATTGAGTTCTGTAACCTTTGAAAAATTAGAGAAAGTCATTAGACCAATATCTGCACTCTGCTACACCATGTAACTGTGGAATAACTCCATTGACTTCTTCCTAGCTACAATGGTGTAATGGTGTAATTCATTTTACATACTACTGATTATATAAGCAGTAATTGAGTTCAGAATGTGATCTATTCATTTTACATACTACTGATTATATAAGCAGTAATTGTTTCCCTCTGTGCAAAATGTTACCGCTGGTAAATTTACAAGTTTAAATGTCATTCGATAAACAGCTTTTAAAGATCATAAAAGGAAGAGGAAAATGTGAATTGTGCTAATGAATAGGAAATATGTTACTTTAAAGCTGCCAAGAAGTGGAAAAGCTGAAGGGCATGCAAGTGGAATTAGACTTAGCACTGTATAATGAACTCTTGAAGGCTTTCTATAGAGCTAGTATAGAAATGTAGGTTATCCTTTCTGCCCACTGTTTAATGTGTATTGTAAGTATTTAAGTCTGATTACTGTGTTTACTTGATTGAAAACAGCCACTGGGTATCAAAAAAGGTTACGGTGAAGATGTTTTCTTTCTCTGACACATAATAGTCTAGTTGCCTGTGGGCAGTAATACTTCTGTCTAATTTCAATTGTTTGGGTAGTATATGGATGGGATTGATGGCTTCTGATGTCAGCTGAGATGATTTGGCAAACCCGCTGGCCTTAAACTACATGATTGTGTTTGTCAGTATTCACTCAGAATGATCTCCGTGTGAAATTAAATAAAAGCGACCTACATACATGTAAGAATCTTATTCTTATGTAAGAATCCAAAAGTCAAGCTTTAAGGAAAATCTCACTTCTAACCTCAGTTGCAAGTTGCTGAAGAGAAGGTGATGCTACAGGATACAAGCTTGAGTTGCCTCTTACTGGGTTATGGAGACTAACATAAGCCACAACATTTCTCTGGAGAACTTTCTTGAGATCCTATAACACAAGCACAGCAGTGGTTATTAAAATGCATGATCATAATTAAGGCTTGTTTTCTTATTTTAGATCCTTTAAGGGAAAAATATACCCTATGTTTTTCTTCCACTATGATTCCCTAAGTATGACTTAATTTCATTTTCCTATATTATCATTTTAAAAACTTCAAAGGATATCTGAGTTTTATTTCTCTGTAGCAAAAGTTTTAATTCCATTTCACACACCATCTGAACAAAATGCAAACAGGCCCTGGAGGAATTAAGAATGACGATAGTTGCAAAGGCGAGAATGAAAACATTACATACTGTGAAACAACAAGAAGGGCTTTTAAACTTGCACCTGACATAAGCCAAACTTCAAAAGTAATCATTATTAAATAGTTAAATGCACTTGAATTTTCAGACCAGGAGCCCAAATTCAGATTTGAATTGCATAATTTATCCAGTGTTGTCACTTGATTATATTTTAAATAGGGGACGTGGCATGGATGAACCACTTCTTTTAAAAATAATTGAAGATCCTCTTTGCTTTCTCAATAATAAAATTATTTTTAAAAGAAGATCCTCTTTGCTTTCTCAATAATAAGCTGCTCTTTGCATGAAGTGGCTCTTTATATTGAGCAGAAGAAGGGTAGCACCATTACATCTGATATAAAGCTGACTTGAAGTTGAACTAAACAAATTTTGCTCCCTCTCAGTTGCATGGATCCTTTTCACTTGATTTTTCTCTCCTCTTGTTTTTGAAGAACAATCATGTTAGAAGAATGAGGTTTTGATAAGTGCTAACTGCTTCCAATAAATTACAAAAAGCAATTAACTCTTCATTTATCTGTTATTTTAATTTGGCAACCACGTTTCTTTCCAATTGATCAGCTGAAATCCAATGGAATCTTATTTAAGATGGTTAGCATGTCTGGTAAGTTATTTTTGTTGAGTTGATTTATCTTTTTGTTGAAGCTAACAGTCTAGGGTTAGAGTTACCCCAATCCCTTCCTCCCCACAACCCTCTGCCCACCTCTTACAACCCTTCCTCATATAACCTAAACCCTCTGCACCCCTGCTTCTGCACACATACTTCCTCCCAGACCCTGCACTCCAATTCCCTGTCCCAGGTCACAACCCAAATCCCTGCAACCCCCTCCTACACCATTGCCCCAGGTCACAAACCCCTCCCAGGTCCTGCACCCCCGTCTATGTCCCTTCTTCAGGTCAGAATTCTCTCCTGCACTCATACTCATACCTCCTCCCAGACCCTGCACCCCACTCCCCCCAGCCCCAATCCCCTGCCCCAGATCACAACCCCCTCCTTCACTTAAACTCCCTCACAGACCCCACCCCCCTCCTGCACACCAATCTCTTATCCCAAGCTCTCTTCTGCACCCAACCTCCATTCCAGATCCTGCACCTCCAAATTCTGGGTGCGGCCTCCCACCAAAAGTTATTGCCCATCCCTGGTATAAACACAGCTGATAACTTAAATAACTATTAATCATGGGTACTTGAAAACATATATGTGATTAATGGCTTGTATGTCTGGAAACTACCTTCCCTCATTGTTCAGTTACACCAAAAGAAGAACAGAAGACATGAAACATGGTTTTCTTTGTGTCAAGGAATACCTGGCAGATAAAAGTGTACAGTGCAGTTAATGCCATAATTAATTACATATAGCCAGAGTGGCCTTCTGTCAACCCTGGATCAGGCACAGCCGAGATTGTTAAGATTAATGTGATTTAACCCAGTTGCTACATATGTAGCTGGGAAAATCTGACAGTAGCGACCATTCTGTCATAGACCCCAGCATTGCGCTAACTAAAGACAACAATAAGGCATATAAGGTTACTGTTGATCCTTACAGACCAGTGTCAGAACAGAGACTCTACCAGCTACAAAAAGCAACCTTGACAGACACACAAATTCACATTCTAAGTTACATTAGCAGAGGCTAGTCCAGTATGTGAAGGACACCAAGGAAGTTACAAGACACTACTTTGCAATGCCTGGATAATTAAGCGAGTCAAATGACCGCATGATTAAAAGCAATTATATCATTTTCCAAAGGAGAGGAGAGGAGACATCCTAAACCTCATCCCCTTGAAGGCCATCAAGGATTAATTAAATGCCATGAACGGTCCAACCAGTGAGCGTGGTAGTCAGGAATCCACTGTGAACATTGCAGAACTGAAAGACCAATATCCCACAAAGACATTTTAATAACATTCCACCAGACAGACCTTGGAAGAGACTAGGGGCAGATTTATGTGAATTCAGAGCTTATTGTTACCTGGCTACTATGAAACTTGTTGCATTGTGATCAAGAAACTGAAGTGCACTTTTACTCATATCAGTATTCCAGAACTAGTGATGGTCAAAGGACCAGAATTCAGTGCAGCAGATTTTAGCTCATTCTGGAAGAAATATGATTTCGATCATATTACTGGCACCTAACATTACCCATAAGTAAATGGAAAGGCCAATGAAGCTGTGCAGACAGCAAGTAAAGCCTTACAACAAGAAGATCCATTCCTTGCCTTTCTGAGTTACAGATCAAGACCAACAGAAGTTATCTGATGTAGTCCAACAACGCCTGATGGGATAACCACTTCGAACTACTGTTCACATTTTGGAAAAGAATCTATCTCCAAAGTGGCCAGACATGAAGCCAATAGCCAGAGTGGCTGAAAAAGCTAAAAGAGCGCATGAACATTTTTACAATGGATGCCACCCAGAGAATTGCCAGTCAAGAACCTGGTGACTATATTCATGTCAAATTGGAGAAAAGGGAAGGACAACTCCAACTGTCATAAAGAAAAGGAAGGACAACTCCAACTGTCATTTCAGCTCAGGTGGGGTTCAGGCTGACAGTGGAGAGTTCAACAAAACCCATGACACCTACCGTTTGTTCCTCAGAGAGAACCAACAGAACAAATCATACAAGTGGCAGATGCAGAACAAGATGACTGAGAGATTCTCCAGCCAGTGGACAGGCAAGTGTCCAGTACAACTTAGAGATGCTTAACTGAATGATTAATTTTGAACTTCAAAGACAGCATGATAGTTTACATTTTGCAACTGGTTGGAATTTAGATTGAAGAGCAGGAGATGAAATAGAATGCTACCTTCTATTTTATTGTTCAGCCCTATTTCAGGTAAAAGAGGACTTTTCTTGCATTGGGTTGGACCTAAGTAGTCCCCGCTCTCTTCCTGTCACCTGGAGGGGAGAGGAGTCAGTGCCTGGTGCTTATGTGGTCTGAAGATAATGCAGCTCTTGAGCCCTCGAAGGGACTTTTCCAATAAGCCAGATGATGCCCCCCACCATTTAATATGTTGTGAGGTCATACATTTCATTCCCAAATACTCCTGGGATATGTCTAGACTGGCATGATTTTCCGCAAATGCTTTTAACAGAAAAGTTTTCTGTTAAAAGCATTTGCGGAAAAGAGCGTCCATGCCAATCTAGACGTGCTTTTCCACAAAAAAAGCCCTGATCACCATTTTCGCGATTTGGGGCTTTTTTGTGCAAAACAAATCTGAGCTGTCTACATTGGCCCTTTGGCGCAAAGCTTTGTATAAAAGGACTTTTGCCCGAATGAGAGCAGCATAGTATTTCCGCAAGAAGCACTGATTTCAGACAGTAGGAAGTCAGTGTTCTTGCGGAAATTCAAGCTGCCAGTGTAGACAGCTGGGAAGTTTTTCCACAAAAGCAGCTGCTTTTGTGGAAAAACTTGCCAGTCTAGACACAGCCCTGAAGAGCACAATCCTGGAACTATGAAATTCACAAATATTCCACATCAAGGAGGGGAATGCGCTCTCTCACCCTTTTCGTTTCCGAATGCTTCTTGAGTTGTCTTTTCATTTAGACACTGTCACCTTCCAGGTACAATTCCAAGCATCACTTATGGCTCAACAAGCAATAAATAATGAATAGGCTAGGACAAATTTGATTTTCATTGATAAATGTTGATTGCACCATATGACTTAAACCAGTGAAAGTATATTTCCATGGACAATTAAAATTTACAGATACGCAAAGTATGAAAAACGTTGTTTGAGAATTTGGAGTTTTATATAAGGTTATTTGTATTGTGTATTTTGACATTTGATAGTGTCGGTGTGTATTTTAATGGTGATAAAGCTTTAATTTTTGAGTCTCAACAACCACTGTTGTTAAACAATTATTGTGTGAGCCTTACCCATTGTCTGACTCCTCAATTTCTTGCAACTGCGAACATTTAAATCAGTAAATAAATGCTTAAACCTCATAGCTGAAAATTTAAATTGATAAAAATTGGAAAAAACTTAACATAAACATTGATATTATCTATCTATCTATATAAAATCAAGCTTAATAATAACAATGGATGAAATATTCATCAGGCCTGATCAGGTTTCTACCAGTTCCATCAACTAGCTGGCTGAGCTACCATGGGTGTTAAGAAAATAAAACAGCCATACTGGGTCAGAACAAAGGTTCATCTAGCCCAGTATCCTGTCTTCTGATAATGACCAGTGCCACATTCCCTAGAGGGAGTGAACAGAACAGGGAATCATCAAGTAGTTCCTCTCCTGTCACCCATTCCCATCCTCTGCCAGAAGCTAGGGACTCCATTCCTACTCATCCTGGCTAATAGCCATTGATGGACTTAACCTACATGAATTTATCTAGCGCTTACTTGAACTCTGTTAAAGTCTTGGTCTTCACAATATCCTCTGGCAAGGAGTTTCACAGGTTGACTGTGCACTGTGTAAAGAAAAACTTGCTTTTGTTTGTTTTAATCCTGCCACCTAATAATTTCATTTGGTGACCTCTAGTTCTTATGTTATGAGGACAAGTAAATAACTTTTCCTTACTCACTTTCTCCTCACCAATGATTTTATAGACCTCTATCACAACCCCTTTTAGTCTCCTCTTTTCTAAGATGAAAAGTCCCAGTCTTTTTTAACTCTCTTCATATTAGCAGTCAGTTGCAATGGGAAACTAAACAGGCTCAGATATGTACAGGGCTGGCCTTACCATGAGGTGAACTGAGACAGCCGCCTCAGGTGCCAGACTGTGGGGAGGCGCCACTAGTTCACACTTTTTGAACAAGGCATTTTAAGTTGTTAGTTGTCCTTTATTGGGGTAGGTAGCACACACACACACACACACACACACACCACGCTCCTTCTGATTTGAGGCCTCTAACTGCGTCGGATGTGAGCTGAAGAAGTCAGCAGCTACAGTGTGGACTTTTTGTCTGTCACCAAAATGTACAACTTTGATGGCTCCTCTGAGTCTGAAAACTGGGATGGAAATGTCATAAGCAAAGGCTCTCTTCACAAAACCCGCAGTAATTTCTGTTTCTAAAAAATCATTCTTGAGCTATTTTTACCACTTCCAGGATGACTTCCGGATGGAAGTGCAGAATACACACACATACACACACACACACACACACACTCACTCTTATATGCTAGGCTTTGCACAGAGAAAGAACACTCAGGAGGGAGTTGGAAGACGGATGAAAGAGCATTAGTAGTTTTTGTATATACAGGCCATTAATCACATACACATTTCAGTGTCCCTGTGGTTAGCAGCTCTTTCAACTATCATCCATTTGAGTTTAAAAGTTAGATTCATTCTGAAACACAAAAATCTTTGGGTTCAACAGAATGGCAAATCAACTTGATGAAAATAACATCAAAGAATGCATCTGGCTTAAATTGGATTCCAATGGATTTCAGCTGATTGCTAAAAAGGAGAAGGCCATAGTGATGTTCATGATGGTTGAATTAAACACACACACATATGCACAGAGCAAATATACAGGCATTAAATACACATTTCTATTTAAAATTAACAAACCTATTCTGTATTTCTTATTCGGTTTCAGCTTTACTTTTGGGTGAAGGTTCAGATCCCTTTTTAGTTCTTACTCTGCAACCATAGTCACAATATTTTAGTCATATATGCCAATATCACCTTATTTTGATTTTGCTTATTTTTCGAAAGAATAGAATTTAGAATGACACATTGGACTACAGCCTGGTAGTGTGACTGAATTACAGAGACATACACAGGCCTTCAAACATCCTTCTGGGGAGTCATTCCCCTCCCCCCAAAAAATTCTCTCTTATCCCCCGGTTTTTCAATCATCTCTAATCAATGTGGTTTTGAAGTTGTCTGATCTATGAGTATTTATGCAATTAGGTAAATGCCTATCAGTAGTCTATTTTTTTTTTTAGTAAAATATAATTCTCCTAATCATTTCCACATTAAAGCAAATGGTTTCTCATGAGCTAATCAGGGTACAGCTGATGAGGCTAGGAGAGAAAGGAAAAATCTCAACCAGAGGCATTTTTGATAATTCCAATAGGTTGATGAGTTAAAAGGGTCCAATCTGAGGTCCATCTAACTCAGTAGACTGGATGAACAGTGACGTGAGTACAGCAGCACTGCACAGTGGGGCAATATGCTTCCATGATTCTCATGCAGCTCCCAACTTCAATCCCCAGCATGGAGCAGGGCAACAGTTTGGAACCTTGGTTTCTAGTCAAGGCCGCTGGGCAGGCCTAACGGTGTCAAGCAGGCATGGCCTTTAAGTCCAAAGTCAGGCTTATAGTCTACCCCACGGCCACTAGTGCCAGTTGAATTCTACACTGGAATGACCCACCAGGTTGTTCTGACTGTTTATACCAGTTAAGTAAAGTTTTTAGTAGAATTGCAGCTTTCACATACAGACATTTCGCAGCGTCTGCTTTCCATGGCATCCATAGCTACATCATCAAATATTTTCATGAATGCCATGCTCTCCCTCTTTCTCTCCTCTCTCAGTTTGCATATTTTACCTCTGCCCATTCGTACGAGCCAATGTTGCCAAATGATGTTCCTCCCCATGAGCAGAAAACAATGGTCCGATCAGGCCTCCAGCCTCTCTTGACTTTTAGCATCAAGGCTTGTATAAATGCTGTGATGACAGCAGTGCTACTGGCCCATTCTTGTCCACTGAAACCATCTACATTGTTGTGGTGGCTACCAACTATGACATATCTATCTGAAAAGAAAAACAACACCAGCAAAACATTTATTTCGGTTAGATTTTAAGAGTAAAACAATTCCAAAAATAAAGGGTGTAGACTGACCATACTCAAGGGCACCTCTGATACAGAAGATGTTAACTCAAGCTTGCAGAAACATATCAAGATAATATAAAACTCTTTCTATTTTACCTATATCATCCTAATATAAGTACTTGTGGTCCAATACCACCACATCAAGCTAGTCAAATGGTTTAAATGAAAAACCTATTATATTAATTAGTTCTTATTTGGATTTATACTGAAGTACACCAAACAACTCTCATGGAGCTCATTTAAAATTTTGTGACAACACAGTTTTTCATTGGAAAATGCTGATTTGACAAAATTTAAACATTTCATGGGAACATATTGATTTCATCAACATTTTCTATGAATGAATTATGAAAGCACTCTCTCAATGTTATCATTTTGACTGTATGTTAAAATGAAGTGCATTACTTTATCAGAATTAAGAACTTCTACCTTCTCGAAATGAAACATTTAGACAAAGTCATTTAGCTATTTCTGGTTTTTTTAAAAATTTTGCCTTACAGAAAATTTAGAGTTTGTTTTTGTAGTTGTTCTGAGTCAGGCAGAAAGAACATTTCAAAATATCAAAATTTCCTACAAAATGGAAATTCTGTGTTTTGGCCAGCCCTAAATACTAGTAAATAAAAAGACCCATCATTTATGACTCTAAGGGTACGTCTAGACTACCGCGTTTTGTCGACGGAAGTTTTGTCGACAGATACTGCCGACAAAACTTCCGTCGACAAAGAGCGTCCAGACACATTGAGTTCTGTTGACAAAGCAAGCTGCTTTGTCGACAGAACTCCGTAGTCTGGACGTAACGTTACAGGCAATAACACCTTCTGTCGACAGAGTTCTGTCGACAGAAGGTGTTATGCCTCGTAAAATGAGGTATACCAGCGTCGACAAAACTGTTGAGTTCTGTCGACGTTATGTCGACAGAACTCAGCGGTAGTGTAGACGCTGGTATAGTTTTGTCGACAAAAGTCCCCTTTTGTCGACAAAACTCAGTAGTCTAGACACACCCTTATATTTTCATTCCTTTGTCCAATCTTCACTTCTTGTGTCATGTTTATAGTTTAGAGCGCAGCAGAATCCTAAAAAACCACAGGATGTCAACTGGGTCCTAGATAGCAAAAGGGATTTGAGGTTTTGTGTGTCCTATTTTATCCAAACTCATTAATCAATTATTTTTGTCAATACGCTGGAGTTCAATAGAATATATTATAGTAAAATGTCCAGACATTAAATTGCCTTTGAAATTATATCCTGGTTGAACCTCCCAAATCCAGGACTCTCTGGTCTGGCAAGATCTGTGATCTGGCATGGATGTTGCTGGACCAAAGGGCCTCAGGAGCGAGATCCAGCTGCAAGAACATGGGGTTTGCTGAGTCCCAACTGGGTCAGCAGCAGCTAGGCAGGGAAACCCCAGCATCAGCAGGGCCAGGTTGCATTGGAGAGCCTCCCCCCCCGCTGGAGAACCGCCAGTGTCAATGGGGTCAGATGGCCGGAGAAACCCTGTCAAGGGGCTGGTGACAGCCTGGGAACCCCAGGAACTCTGGTGGCAGTGGGGCCAGGTAGCAGTCAAGGAGCTCCGGCTGGGGAACCGCAGCAGCGAAGCCAGGTGGCATCCAGGGAGTGCTGGCCCCAGCAGGGGAACCCCAGCATCAGTGGGGCCTGGTGGCATCAGGGATCCTCTGCCCTGACCAGAGAACCCTGGTGTCAGTGGGGTCAGGCTGCCTAAGATTTGCTAGCAGTGGGGCTGGAGGCCAGAGAACCCTGGGAAATCAGGGAGGCTGGCAGCAGCCAAGAGGCCCGGAGCTGGGAAACCCCGAGAAACCATGGCAAGTAGCGTGGCTGGCGACAACCAGGTGACCCTGGCTGAGGAACCCTTGGGAACCCCCAGCGTAGCCAGTGGGCAGCAGGGTTGGGAGCCTTGGCTGGGCCACCTTCAGCGGGGCAGCAGCAAGGTAGGGAGCCCCTGCCTTAGGAGCCACAGGAAGAGAAGCCGTCAGCCAGAATTGGAGCCTTGACCTTCCCTGGTCTGGCACCAGGGAGAGAAGCCATCAGCCAGAACTGGAGCCTTGACCTTCCCTGGTCTGGCAAATTCCCTGATCTGGGACGGCTCAGGTCCCGAGGGTGCCAGACGAGGCAGGTCCTACCTGTACTACACATTCCTTGGGGATGTTTGCTGTGAGTACTACCTTCCAGCACTTTTCAATTTGAGATGCACATTTTAATTATAAACCTCCTCTCCATCAAAGTGGATTTTTACCAGAATTTTGGTCAATGTCATACTGAGGAACATTGCTTAAGTAGAGTACAATAACACTCTATCGTGTTTTATTGGTGAGATTGCTGCAATGTAAATGCCACATAACCACTTTTCAGTCACGTCACATGGTTGTTTGTGTTTTTAAACAAATGTAAACAGGAAAATCTATTTATAAATGTAACTATTTCTTAGATTACTGTTTCACTGGGTGGCACTGATACAGAATCATTAAACAAAACTGTACAGCTTGTCAGCAAAAATTAAATCTAAGCATACATAATTGAATATAATGAGAAATATAACTAATATCATTAAATTTCTGTGTTGTATCAAGAAAAATTTAACATAATACAATGACATTGGGAAGCCCTACCACTTTCAACCAGCATGTGGGGACGTCATCCCTCAAGTGGGGACAGCACATTCATAGGTGTAACTTTCACCTCCTATACTCCTTAGGGACCCACAAGTGCCTGCTGTAACAGAAGGATAAGTCAGGATGCAAAGACTATCTTTCGCCACCCTCTCTGATTGATCTATGGGAGGAAGGGATAGTAGGAACATAGAAAGAAAGAGACCTGACAGGAAATGGAAGAGGATCAGTGGGTGGTTGACAAAGCTGCCATGTGCCATCTTCGCTCCAGGAACTTGTTGCTGATGGAGAGGAGCGTGGACAACAACAGATGGCTTTCTTGAAGCTACTCACCTGCCCGCAAACCTCTCACCTGAACATACACAGAAGCCCGCAGAGGCAGCTGGCTGCAGGAGCAGAACATGAGGGATAGCAGACACCCAGACAGCAGGGTAGATAGACAGCAGCTTCTCTTGCCAATCACCTGCTGAAGTAGGCAAGGAAACTGAGAGAGCACGATGATAGGAAAGATGGGTCCTAGGTGGAGAAGGAAGAACGACCAGGTACTGTGGATAATGAAGATTTAGGCAGGATAGGCAAGGACTGGGAAGTGCAGAAAAGGTGAAATACAAGTGACTTCACACAGTATTTCCCTGTGTCAGTTAAGTGGCAAACCATCTACTGTGTACAATCTACAAAAGCCACTCACATTTGAGTGTTTTTTCAAATCCGCACAGTGATTAACAACTAACCAACACATTTTTTTCTTCCCCTTATTCCTTTAACATTATTGCTGGATTTCAAATGCTCTGGGAGAGTTTTACAACTTTATAATACTTCTCAAACTAAAAATCAAAACAGATGGCTTGAGAATTGAGAACCTTTACAGAGTAAAATTCATCCCTGATTTTTAGTCATCTTAGTCTTCAGTGTAATTACACCAGGGATAAATTTGACTTTCCCTCTTTACTCATAGAAGAATCAGGGAGAATAGCGTGAACATAAAAAACTAAAAAGAACAACATCAAAATGCCAAAATAACAAATGTGCCATGTAAACATCAAGTAGGACGGACACAACTACAATAGCAACTAGAAATCCTATTGAGTTCAATGTGATTACATAGTCTTACAATTAGGATGCATTTAAGTATCTACATATATTATCAATAAGTTTCATGTGTACTACACAAGATATTGAAGTCAATTAAAGTATTACAAGATACATTATGGGAAGTTGATGTTAGGGTTGAATACTTTTTTTTTATTTGTTGTGCTATTTCTAATTTCCAAATTATTTGGTAGACAGATTTTTTCTAACCTTGCCATTTTCTACTGTTGATAGGTATTTGTCCAAGATAGCCATTTGCAAATATGCAGCAGATAAGAACATCAAATAAATGCTCTTGTGGACTAAAACCTCTATTTGAAATTAAATACACAAACAGTAATTGTTTTCAATTTGTTGTAAAATTGACTTAGTTTTGGCAAAAGGTGCTGAATTGAGAGTGCTGCAAACTGCAGCCATTATTTTACTAACAGACAAGATAATGAAAGCTTTCCCCATTACTCCACCTGAGTGCCTCCAACCTGACCTTAATGGCCAACCTCTAGTGACAGAGTAGTTAAATCAGCCATCTCTCTACTGAGGCTGCCAACAAGAGTGCTAGCCGAGGGAATTCTGATGATCATGGGGGGGATGATTTCATTTGTCCATTAGGAATTGGACTGAAACCACCAATGCTCTGCTACATGCTGGCAAAATGCCATCAGACAACACGAGCTTTCACTACCTGCTGAAATACCCCTCTTGCTTTCAGCCAAAGTATTCTCCTAGGGAGATTCAACTTATGTTCTACTCATGCTGATTTTAATACTTACTATTATCATTTCTTTATTATCTGTAATACCAAAGTGCATATGAGAGCTCGACAATTTAATTCTTGGCTACAAATGTTAGAGCTGAGTGAGATTTTGAGAGCTGAGGACCCTTTGATGTTAAGTTACTATTAAAAAGTCTGATTCCTCCACCCTTAATCATGTTGAGCAGCATCTTATACCAAGGGTGATACAGATGGGCATACTCATCATATAGGCTATTATTTAACATAAACAAGGCTGCAGAACTGGGTTTTACATTTTATTAAAGAAAAAACTGCAACGGTTTTCATGTCTATGATTTCCACCATAACCATGGTAGGTTCTAAATCCTGGACCACATGGCTAAAGATTGTCCTATGTCTTTTCCATTAACAATCTGTCCAAAATCAAGTCACATTACAATTCACTGCTACATATATGAAAGACCCACAATGAGATTCTTGCATTCAATTATTCCTTTAAAAATAATTCTTTTGATTTGCAAATGGTTGGCCACTAACATAAGGAAAACAGCTGACTTCCAGTATTTTGATTGGTGCACTGGGTCTGCTTTTTGCAATAATAGCCAATATTTAATTAAAAAACATAATGTATCAATAGTCCACATTTGAAGAATTAAGCCTTTGCTAAGATCAGATAAACTTGCTTACAGAGAACAAGTCAAACAAAGTAATTTTTAGAATTTGAAATACTAAGACATTTATATAACATAAATTACAAAACAGTAATACCATGAATGTTTATAAAGACAATTATTGTGTATTGTGCAAAATATGCTCACGGTACTGGTACTACCTCTCCTTCCTTTTTAACCAATTCTCTTTTTAATCCTCCTGCATAAACCTAAGTCTTTGGAGCTTAAATAGCCTTTTAACTTGAATATAGGTACAGCACCCAGCATAACAAGAATTTGATACTTTATTGCAGTCCCTAGGATTACTGTTGAACACATAATTGATAATGGCAATAATAGTAGTCATAGAGGTCTACTTACCGGGAAACGTAGATCCCTTTAAATATCCAATAACATTAGAAATTGTCTTGTATGTTGGGACTGCCTGAACATTTAGATTGATTATTCTCTTTTCTGTTGAGATAAAAAAGTGAGAACATTTTAATCCATCATTTATTATGCTACAGAAATCTGTAGGCCATCAATTTCCCCTTTCCTTCTACCCTCTGAGAAGAGACTACATTTTACACTTACTAAACTACACATAAAAAGGATAACTATTTTATCTCCCACACTCAGGGTAATACTACAACTCTGATTGGTTCCTTAACATGGGGGGGGCGGGTTTAAACGAGGGACTTCTAGATTGTAAACATATGAGCCTCTACTGCAGTGGTGGTCAACTTGCAGCTCAAGGGATACATGTGGCCCATCAGGCTTCTACGTGTGGTCCATGAAACATTTTGTTTACCATTGCACAGGTACAAGGGTTGCCAGATTTCACTGGTACCGTCTATGTTTTCCCTTCTGGTTTTACTAAAGTGACACTCATCTAAAGCAAAGGAATGTGAAGTGAGATGCATGCTAATTGCACACAACACTGACTGAGAGCCGTGTGCTTCCTTTGCAGCCACTCAAAGCGCTGCAAATTCTAGGTACACAGTAGGTAGCATTACCCTATCCTAGGAGACAGTTCTGGTTACAACACGTGGTTACAACAATCTTGAGTCCCACTGACAAGAAGGAGACCTACTCCTGTGGCCTGCTCACTAGCTTAGGTTGTCTATTGCAGCTCTACTGATTTAGCTGACAGACTAATCTCTAGTAACTGAGCTTATAGCAGCCTCATCAAACTGTACACATGGCGCAATCACCACTAGAGAGGATACAACACTCTATGGAATAAGTGCTATAGGGAAACCTTTCCCAAGCCTCAGAACCCCACTCAACTCACATCCTATACAAACTATCCATTCTAGACTCTTAAGGAACTCCCCAGGACCATAATGTGCCCAGTTTGGAGTTGTGTCTTACTGGCATAATTGAGCCCAAACCAGTATCAACATCCTTGTCTGAAAAGTGCCCGAATCAAAATAAAATGTTCTGTGGAAAGATCGTTTTGTTCTTAAGCTCATAGACATTCTTCCAGGGCATATCTAGACTACGTGGAAAGGTCGAAAGAGGATATGCAAATTCTGGAAGAATTTGCATATCTTCTTCTGATTGCACTTTCAAAAGCGGAGCTTTTGAAAGTGAGAGTAATTAAGACATGGCTTTTTAGGCGAACTGCCCCCTTCAATGAAAAGCCTCTCTTTCTCAAAAAAGAAGGTTTACGCGTCTTTTCGACAAATGGGGGGTTGGCCAAAAAAGCCACGTCTTAATTACTTTCACTTTCGAAAGTTCCACTTTCGAAAGTGCAATCGGAAGAAGATATGCAAATTCCATAGGAATTTGCATATCTTCTTTTGACCGTTCCCTGTAGTTTAGATGGGTACGTCTAGACTACGTGCCTCTGGCGACAGACGCATGTAGATTAGACTACCAGACCGCTTCATTTGAATTTACATGGCTGCCACGCTGAGCCGATCAGCTGTTTGTCATCTCAGTGCAGTAGTCTGGATGCGCGGGGGTCAACATCAAAGGCATTTGTCAACCTCCCAGGTATGCCTCATCCCAGTGTTGTATTTTCTGAAACAGTTTGTTTTCAAGTCTTCCTTCCCGAGGTACCCAGATAGTTTAAATGATGAGTGCACTGGAATACATAAAATAAAACTAACTTGTGCCTGTCTTTGTCAGAAGGATTTTCAAACTCAGCTTCATTCTCTGGGACTTATGCAATGAGTTGATTTTAAACTTATATTCAGACTAAAACCATTTCAACGTCATTCATCTCCTAGACCTTGGAATCGAATTGCCTGGTTAATGACTGAAGCAGGTGCAACAATGCCAAGATTCTTTCTTTATACTTAGCAAAATAGTTTGAAAAATAAATTACAGGTTAAACTCTCAAAGTTACGACTCAATCCCTTATTCAGACAAAACGCTCAGTATCACGAATCAATATGATGTTGTATAAAAACTCAATGAGTACTTAACAAGGACTTTGGCTCTATCACAGAATGCAATGGAAATGCCCAGTGAAGACAGTGGAAATTAGAAGTGCAGTTCAATAGAAAATTCAGACCCTATTAGTCTATAACAACCACTGATAATTTTTCATGTTGAGCCTTGTCTCATATCTATTAGTTAGTGTTCTGATTAACTTTACCTTTCTTACATGTAGTCATAGGGTTCCCTGAGACTACTGAAGGAGAATGCCATGAATGTTTTATATGCTATGGAAAAACCTCAAATTGTACCTTAGAATTTTAACTAGAATTTCTAGAAATTTAAAGTATTGCCCTGGGCTGGGGGTGGGGCTGAGGGGTTCAGTATGCAGGTTGCCCTGTGGAGAGAGGATTACCCAAGCCCTTTGTCACCAAAGAAGCTTGGGGTCAGGTGAGAAGTGCCTCTCTATGGCTGCTGTAGCTCCAGCTGGGACAGGCAGGGGAGGGGAGCATGACTCCTGGCTGGGGCAGGTCCACGTTCATCTGCCCTGTGCTCCCCACCCAGAGCAAGGAATGCAGCAAACTGTGCACTTTCATCGCTCCCTGATGAAGGGAATAGCCAGGAATCTTCCAGTACAAATGGGGGAGGGAGAGCTTCAGCTCCCCTTGCCATCCCTAAATGGCACCTGGAGGTTGTGAGGCTCAGAGCTGGGGTAGTCTTAGATGTGAGGGGAGGGAAAAGACGCCCCCAGCCAGCCCTTTTCACCTGTCTGGTGATTCTGTGTTTTTCCTGTATGGTTTTATGAGACACAATCCCATTACAAGCACAGCCCATTTTCCTGGCACAATCAAACCTTACCTTGCTTTGATGGTGCTACCTCCTGCCATTTAGAAGGAATTGTTGAACTGACAGACACACACACAGACACACAAACTCTCTCAAATATGTAGCAGACAACTTGAACAACAGCTTGTGATATATATGTTGTTTGCACCTTTTAGATTACACTGATGCTTTGTGAATTATTCTCAAGACTCAATTTTGGATATTAAACCATCCCATAGCCAAACTGCTCAATCTTTTTAAAGCATCTTCAAACCAAAGCTGATTTGACTTCTTTATTCAAATCCTACAGCATTTAAAAGTGGTTTATTTTATTAGGCTCCAATTCAACAATGCTTAAACATGCTGAGCCCCACAAAAGACAACTAGACATAACAAGGTGCGTAAATGCTTTTCTAAGTCTGAGTTTTAACACTGGCTACTGAGATCTGCCCTGAAAACAAAGCAACACAAAATATTCTTCTGGGAAGTGATATGTTCTGGAATCAGATAATAAAATGAATAGACATATTGTACAGTACTCCAGTGTGAAATAGCATAGGCTTAAAGGTTTAGTACACCTGACAAAAAGGCTCAAGGGGGTTTCCATGGAGTGTACAGAAAAAGTAAAATCTAATTTCCTTTAAACAGTTCTGACAACAAATCTCGGTTCCTGATGCTACACGTCTGATGAAAGATTTTAAAGGTCTTGACAACATTATCACTTTTTCCCTAAATTCTCTAGCAAGCTATAGGAAGATTTTCTCTTTAATACTGCTTGAAATACCACTTGAAGTTGTTCTAAGCTATAAAACTACTTCAGAACTAAAAGAAAAGAAAGTGATGTATTGATATTAATATTTCTGGATTATTTTTTCTTTTAACATTTGCTCGACTTGAAACCTGCTCATTGTTACCTGGTTAATAAGGATAACTTTTTATTCTTATCATGGTTATCCTACACCCTCCCAAATAAAACAAAAGCGCTCAGTGATTTTCCACTGAATGTAATGGGATCTGTTGAGTCCTGAGCACTTTTGAAGAGCAAGGTCACTTTCTTAGAAGCTGAAATAAGGATTATCCTTCCATCTTTTTTAACAAAAATCTTGCCGCAGGCTCACACTGACATTGGGTAGAGAATATTTGGGCCCAATTTCCAAATAGGTTTTCTTAACTCTTCATTAGATGTTCAAACTTCCACTTACGCACAAAAAATGTCAGTTTTATTTGCCATATAGGCAATCTTTTGACTTTTAAAATGCATCTAGAGAGCTAAAACTCATTGATTTCAATAGGAATTAGGTACCTAGATGCTTCTGAAAATACTACTATGTGCCCAAAAACCTTTAAAATCTGGTACCAATTTTAGTGTGGGATTTGGAATTTTCTTAAGGCACCAAACTTTGAAAATTGAGCCCCAATTTCTTCTCCAAATACACTCAGGAGGCTCCATCAATACAACAAGTTGAAGTTTAGGCATCTAAGCATCTGAGTAAAGTTGAGCATATGCAGAAATGGAACCTTAGACTGTAAAATGTTGCAAATTACTTTGCTGTGTTGCAGGAATCCACTTTTGTGGCACAACTAGCAGAATTAGGGTCTAAAGATATAATTCATTCTGATGAATACATTGATCCTATTGAAATCAATAGGTGCTGTGTGTGAACTTTTCCTTGAATCACAGAAACTTGAAAGACATGGTACAAGTCTTGGAGGACTGGGGACGGGCTAACAGAGCCCATCTTTAATAGGGGGGACTGGAAAGGAGGAACTGGGGAAATACAGACCAGTCAGCCTAACTTCATTGTCTCAGAAGCTGCTAACTAGAGCAATTGTATAAAACATTCATTTTGTGAATACCTGGAAGATGAAAGGGTAATCACTAGAAGCCAGCATGGATTATCAAGAACAAATCATATTAAACCATCTCGATCGCCTCCCTTCACAGGATAATGGATCTGTTGATTAGGAGGAATATAATGGACGCAATATCCCTGGATTTCAGCCAGGCTTTTGACACAGTCCCACATGACAGACTGATAAGTAAGCTGGAGAAATGCAGGCTCCACAGAACTACCATCAAAATTGGTTAAACAACCGCAAACAAAGCATAACTATTAATGGAATGATGTTGGATTGGAGGGAGGTCTTAAGTGGGGTTCCACAGGGATCTGTTCTGGGTTTGGTGTTGTTTAACAGCTTTATTAATTACATGGATATTGGGATAGCAAGCATACTGAACAAGTTTGCAGATAACACAAAGC